AACACTGGTGAAATACTATTAATTTCCTGAGAGAAAAAAAAAATAATTAATTGGCAGTGGAATTGGATTTCATTCAGATCTAGTTGTACAGAATGCAGCCAAGGGTCCTCAGAATACTTTTTAAAGAGAAGGAAGGGAATAAATATGTCTAAAAAAGCCTTTGATAAATGTCACACAACTGCATGTGTTTTCCATATTTCCATTAGTGATGTGTATGTGCTGTGGTCTGAGCATGGAGAGTAAGTCTAATGTCTTAGAAGTGCATTGATGCTTCTGTACATGGGTAGGCTAGCTGGGCTACACGAAATGTTCAAGTCTAGGATAAGTCAGATCCACTGTGTGGATACTATGGAATTGATCTGCTCATGGACAGTAAATCAGGTGTATCCAGAATGTATCAACAGATACGCATTGGTCACACTTGGAGTTGTCAGGAGCCTGGAAATGTTCCAAATTCTCAAAATTCTTCTTTGTGAATACTTCAGGGGTGCTTGGTAGTCTATACCTGTAACAAAATCAAAATTTATAAACCCACAAAGAATTAAATTGAGTCTCCAGGGAAGACGATGGTACCTATATCTGCAACAAGGAGCTTGTGAGGGCTTCTATAGAACCTGGTTTCAGGTAGAATAATTCCCAAAGAAGTGTAGGCCATATGATGGATCTATTATTCGTTCTTAAGGTCAAATTAACATCTATACACTACTCGTTTTCTAGTATTGGGTGGTGTGTGGATCTCTGGTTTGGGGAAAATGGGTAGCTGAGTAGCAGGAAAAAAATGAAATTGAAGAGTTTTCCTTACAATGAAAAGAGCTGGGCAGCAGTTAGAAGTAAATTAGTTGAATTTAAAAGTTCTTCCAGCTTTTCTCAGCACCACTGTAGCTTCTTCCAAAATGCTGAACAGTTACTCCCAGACAGAGATGGGCTCGATGGTGGAAAGATGAAGTAGTAAGTACTGCAAGGTATTTTAACAAATAGGATATAGTCAACCAAACTAGATTAGCGAGCTGAGAAGTCTACCGAGTTCTGTCCAGATCCATATGGATCTGTTGGAATCCATATGGAGATCTCCCAAGGCTGGTTCAAAGCTATGATTGTATAATGTTATAATGGAGCCTGACAGCTCTGAGGTGAAACAGGATTTTGAATGTAGCAATTGCCATCCTTTCTAATGGGAATAAGTATCATAAATACAATACAGTCAATCATTTGTGCTTGACTTTAGATGGTAAACTGTAAAAGTCATATCAATGTCTTCAAGAACGCACAAATCATTTGCTAAAATTTCAGTTTAATGAAATGTGGTATTTTCTACCAGTTTTATGTCTATTATGGCCACTTGCTTTTCATAGCAGGATGTGGTGATAGTCACCTGTTTATCTGTAACCAGCTCATTTAAGTGACTGATTTTGTGCTTATCTTAGTCATACCTAACTTTTCCAAAGAGAGATAAAAATGGTTTTATTCGTCTCTCTTTTTTTTTTGAGGTGGGGCGGGTGGGTAGGGACAATGGCAGAGGAGCATCTAAGAGCTCTTCAACTCACAATTCTGAGTACCCAGCTTTTCTTAAGAGAGTGAAGAGGATCAATGTTCTTTAAAGATGCAATTCATTTGTCTTTTCCACTTTTTTTTGTCAGATACTTATTGTTTCTTAAGAAATCAGCTCCTATGCTAATCTCTCTGCCCCCTGAAATCAATGGCTTCACCTTTGCAGATTACATTAAAACATGATTGCATTGAACAGAATCAAATTAAAGTGAGTATAATCAGCTAGGATCATAGACTTGGAACAGTTGGAAGGGACCTTAAAGATCATCTAGTTCCAACCCCTCTGCAACAGGCAGGGACACCTCCTACTAGACCACATTGCTCAAAGCCCTGGCCCTGACCTTCAACACTTCCAGGCATGGGGCATCCACAACTTCTCTGGGCAACCTGTTCCAGTGTCTCACCACCTTCAAAGAATTTCTTCCTAATGTCTAATCTAAATCTCCCCCCTTTCAGTTTAGAACTATTCACCCTTGTCCTATTCCTACATGCCCTTGCAAAAAGTCTCTCTCCAGATTTCTTGTAGGCCCCACTTAGGGATTGGAAGGCTGCTATAAGGTTTCCCCTGACCCCTCTCTTCTCCATCCTGCCTTCATAGGAGAGATGCTCCAGCCCTCTGAAGGTCATTGTGGCCCTCTAGACTCGCTCAAGAGGTCCACATCCCTCTTGTCTCCCCCAGTTAGGATATCATCTGTATATTGATATATGTGGATGCCTGCTGGCAGTATTGAGGTGCTTAGCTAAAGCATTGTGGGCAATAGTGGGTGGGTGTTTATACCGTTGCAGGAGTTGATTAAAGGTACACTGCATCCCCTCCCAAGTGAAAGTAAACTGAGGTTTGTCTTCTTCCCTTAGGGGACCATAAAAAACATATCCAACAGCTGGTTTTTTTATTTGGATCCTGGGGCAAAACTCCAGTGCAACTCAGATGGATCGACGTGTTCTTTCTTATGTCTGTGGGACCCAGAAACCTCATCATGAGACCTTAATGTTGCCGTACAATTATTCACTTCATTTTCAGTTGACAAATATATTAGAAGGCAGTGAGGTGCTTGATGCTGAGCAGACAAAAGGGCTGAGTCTGGGGTGAATGCTACGGTGACTTGAGCTTGGGGTTTCGGAATGAAGCTTGGCCAGCACAGTGCTTGTCATCAGCACTTTTTCTTCAGGGCTTTGCTATTCCTTTGGCTTAAGTCCGTTGACTGAAGGTTATTGTAGGCAAATTATGTCACTGTAACAAATGACTCTGGAAAGAAATGGCAGGGGTGCTGTGTAATGTGGGTGAAGGTAATGAATGACCTGGGAAGTAATAGGTAGGTCTGAAGTGATGGACCCCTGTGTGAACAGTAATGAATATGAATAAGAAAGATTTTTACATCATCAGTGACAAACGTAAAAAAGGATACCCTCTTCAACCACTGAGCTTTCTTGTCAAATAGGAAAATGGAGGGCGGCATTTCTACTTTGCTTTCAGCTTTGGGTCTGCAGCAGTACTGCACCCCTACTGCATGAGGTAAGAGAAGACTGTGCAGAAAGCATGTTAGTGGCAGAAAAGCCTCACCAAAATGGGCAAGAGGATGTCTCCAGCATCCTCATCTGAATCAGATTTAGGTGTAATGAGAAAAAGGCATCTGACCTGGTCTGGAAATGAATTCAAAATAATAATACAAAAAAACCCAACCAAAAAACAACTCCATTTCCCTTATGTTGAGTTTTGAGTACAGCACAATTGAAACCACTGTTATTCATACTGTGGTGCAGAGGGTTAGTATTTATCCACATTTTCAATAGCTGAAGTCAAGGTTTAAATGGCACTAAAACTTTTCTCTAGGCTTTCCAGTGTAATGCAATTACTGGGCAGACAAAAACACTTGAAAGGTATATTTAAAGTTGCCTTGTTGAGATGAACAGCTAATAAAGCAAAATATTGATAATAAAATACTTTTTGCTGTATTAGATTAATGAAGCAAAATAATTAATATAGTTTTAGTAGTGAAAAGGCATATATTTTCAAAAATACGACTGGATTTTTTTTTTCCGCAGTATTCCTTGTAACAGAAGATAAATGTGATTTTAATACCTCACAATTTGCAACAGTAGCAATTCTTGCAGCACTGTTAATACTCCATACCAAGGTTCTAGCTCTGTTTTCAGCCCATTGTGTTTAATCTCTGAAGACAAGACTCTCTTTTCCCACTATCGTTTCTCTTTTTCAGAGTTGCTTCTGAGTGGATGTCGAGTATGTCTGTTATACCATAACCATGCAAGAAATAAAAGTCTTTAGCTCAGGAGGGAAGGTTGGAAACTGGTAACAATATTGCTGAGAAGCTGTGCTTAACTTCTTTCTGTGGCATGCAGTCTTCTTTCTCAATTTGGTCACTAGACTTCAAGCCAAAGTACAACTTTACTCCGTTTATAAAATACTAAGGATTCCCAGTCTGGTATCAGTAATCTTGAAACGCTTGGTCTGTTGTTTCATTATTCCAGCGCACAAGAGCATTTTAACTACAGCTCACTTTAACTACAGTAAAGTGTTTGTGTAAAGATTAATAAGTGGCAAGCAAAAAATCCCTTAGACTTTACACAGGCTGCAGAAAAGCCTGGAGCAAAGGTCTAAAGTGCAGTCCTTAAAACTCGTGAGCCCAGAGTGTGTCGTTCAGGACGGTCGTGTTGCTGCCGTGGAGAGCTCCTGTTAAACGCCATTTTCTGCACTAGCCAAGCGCGTGTTAGTCAGTTCCTCCTTGCTTCTGGCAGCAGGCCAGTTGTCCTTCTGGTTTTGATCAATTTGAAGAGAAGGTTTAGTAACTAGAAGAGTTAGTTTACTAACTCTTGTGTTCTTCAGCAATAAAGCATCTGAAGTTGTAGTGAAGTAACAAGGTTATTGCGGTCAGGGTGCCATGAGGGCCAGGGGCTCCTTGAGGGCCATGGAAGCTCCCTGTAGGGTCTGTCAGGGCAGGACGTGGCAGGCAGTGCCCATCCCACCACCCTAGCTAGGAGCAGGGCAGCTGGGGCCACTGGGGCAGCCCCAGGCATCAGGCCCCTCCCCGGGGACAGGCTGAGCGAGGCTGGGATGTGGGCCCATGGCTGATCCCAGCTTGGCGGGCCCCACAGCTGGGCTGTGGGGAGCTGGAGGCTGGTTTTGCTGCAGCATTGCTTGGGCAGGGGCTGATGGCCCTGCTGGGGCTGAAATGGAGCCATGGGCAGCGCGGGAGGAGGCCTGGGAGGCTGAAACAAGGCCCTGGGCTGTAGGCAGGGACAGTCAGGGCTGCAGCACCCCAGGGCTATGATGACTGATGTGCTGGTGTCGGTGCGGTATGATAATACTTCCACAAAATTAATTGTTTCCATTGTATTTTTCTGTATCTCTGACTCTTAAGTTAGAAGGTTGTCATGAAACCCGCTGTGTTCAGAGACCTGTCTCATACCCATGTTTGTATTCTGCTTGCCTTACGATGTGGCTAATAACTTATTTCTTTCAAGGCCTGTTCCCTGCCATCTTGAACCTGGCCAGCAATGCTCACATCTCCACCAATGCTACCTGTGGGGAGAAGGGACCAGAGATGTTCTGCAAACTGGTGGAGCATGTCCCGGGACGGCCCCTGCGCAACGCCCAGTGCCGCGTCTGTGACCACCACAGTGCCAATCCCAAAGGCAAGTTTCATATGTTTTGGTTTTTTTGTTTATTCATTTGTTTTTTGTTTTGTTTTCTGGGTTTCTGTCAATTTTTTTGACCTTTCTGGATGAATGCAGGGTGTATTAGGGTCAAGTACTTTTTACGTCTAGCCTCTCTACTACATGAATGAAACTACCTTTGAGCAAAGGGCTGACAAGTAGGCTTGAGCATCTTAAATCACTGTTGAGCATTCCAGAGTCCAATGACAGCCTTTTTGTCAGGGGGCAGATTTCAGTTTTTGCTTGTTTACGACAGGAAGAAATTGTGCTCCATGTGAAGTAAATGTGCTGGTTCGGAGAAAATGCAGCGACGTGTAATTTCAAGAGATGTTTAATTTTTTTTTGCCTTAAAACAGAACAGCACCCGATTTCCAGTGCTATTGACGGTACCAATAACTGGTGGCAAAGTCCAAGCATTCAGAATGGGAGGCAATACCACTGGGTCACCATCACCTTGGATTTAAGGCAGGTGAGTAATATTTTGGTAAGCATCATTTATTGTATGTGTGATATAAGCCAATGCAATTGATTGCATTCTTCTTTGTTTAGATTATAGGATATTTAGCAATTAATCATTTAGTAGCACATAGCTAAAGCTAACATGAACTGAGTTTAACTGAGTTGTCAATTACTGTTCTAGAGCATCTTGGAGATTTCATTCCCATCAGACTGAAGTGGAAGTGACTATTATTTGTAAGCGTATAGGTCACAGGTAGTTGTAATTCCTGGCACAGTAACAACTCTGTATGTGTGGGTGGCAGTGTTTATACAGGCCTTCCTTCTGTCTTGGTAACCTTCTTCTACCTGACCTTACGGTATTTTCCCCAACATTCCTCTGATATTGTTTTCCTCCACCTTTGATTTCATGCAAATTACTTGAAACTGGGTTATCGAAGGCTGATTTTCAAACAGCAAGCAGTGTTTTCAGGCTACTGTCACAAGCACAGATTTTATATGTGAGGATGCATCTGTTTCTGTTTTATTAACTGTATTGATCTGTCACCTGATCGCTGTACAGTTTCTTAGTAAGAGTAAATGATTTGGAGTAGGACATGGTAGAAACATTTGATGTTTACTGTAAGAAAAGAGAGCGCAACATACTTCCAAATATGAACTCTTTTGATCCATAGGTATTGTAACTCAGATACTGAGTTTCAGAGGAAAAGAGAAAGGTGATTTGAGAATTATTGTATTCACATCACTTATCTCACAGTAGATCTCAAGTTGAACTCTTCTGTTTAAATTTCTCATATTTTTGCATATTTACATTAGTGCAACGTAATGGTCAGATTGAAGTGTAAAATGTCAGAAAGTTCAATTGCAGGATCTCCAGAAGTCTGGAAGCACAAACTTTCCTCAGTTAAGAGGTATTCTTCAAGAGTAGAAAGTGAAACACGTAAAATGGGGCAAAGTTAGTGTTGATGAAGGAAAGGTTGTTTTGCCAGTTTCTGTGCTTCTCTTCTGACTGATTCTGATCACTGTCTTGTTGGAAGGAGTGCTGGGGAGAAAAGTTCTATGTTATATGTTCTATGAACTTTCGCTAACAATTGGTCTGAATTGTCATGGATTATGTGTCTAAAAGAGTGATTTCTGGCTCTGGGAAGGCTGAAAATGGCTGGGCAGAATTTGTTTTTTCTGTTTTGGCACTTTATGGCAAAGCTTGGTGGGATTCATCATTCTTAGTCAGGAGTCTGCTAAACTGTACAGAGCATTTGCTAATTTACTAGTTTGTCTGTCAAATATGGAAGGATCAGAAGGCTGTCTCCTCTCTTGCTCCAAGAAAAGACAGTAATTTCTGAAGAATATGTTTTTTTCTTGGCTTTTTCTTGTTGTTTTGCTTTGAACAGGTCTATGCATTGACCTAAGCTGTTTGAAAATCATAGCTCAACAATACATTATTAATATGGAGATGCTTCCAGACTCTGGAAGAAGCTTTGCTACTAAGAAATGCATACTTGAGGTGTATGTACATTTGGTAACAAGCTTTTGCAGGATCTCTAGACCTTGCTTGAAAGTTATTTTAAAGATTAAAACAGAAGGTTTAACTTTGGTGTTTTAAAATGAAGTGTAGGTTAAACAAGTGCTTAGTTTGCTCTTTAATTAGAAAGCAGAACTTCTACAAAAATAATCACAGGGTATCTTTTGTCAGTAACAGGAGGTTTGGGTAGGACTTTCTTGTTGTTTGAAGAGTTGCCTTTGTGTTTGGTTTGTAAATGGACAAACAGGAAGGAAAAATGAAGGAGGAGGGAATGCCTTAGTTTTTTATCCTCATAGAACATTTTCTACTTTGGAAACAGACCAGCTGAACAGCCCTCTAAGTCTTTTATTCCCCAGCCTTAATGCTGTTGATGTTTCACCAAATACATATCTTTCCTCTCCTGACCCATGCTCAGTTTCACTAATTCGATTTGAAAAGTTTCCCCCAAGGGGCCTTTCTTCTGTGTTTTCCTTGGAGAGTTTGAGAGAGAGAAGGCATCTAAGGCTATGCAAACTGAATGTAAATTACTGCTCTGTGAGAAAGGATTTGGTTAATAGAGATCGCTTGAAGTCAATGTGTTGTTAGAGCTGATTGGTGTGCTTACTTTAAGCGAGTCAGCACAAGTGAAGAAAACACAAGAGAAAAGTTTGAAGAACCTTAGTGATTTTAGTAACTGTTTACTTCATGAATTTGCTTAAGAATGAGTTAAAATACTCTCTTAGGATCTTTAAAAATATTCCTGAAAGTCAGTATCTGTAACTGTGTATGTTGAAGTATATCTTTAACATTGGTACTTTTTTATACGTTTCAAGCTTTGCGCTTGTCGAGTACTCTTGTCAAGAAATGTATCAATGTCCTTTAACTTTCCTTGCGACAATATAGAATTTGTTCACACCCTTTCATGATGTGAAGAATGACCATCTGGTTATTATTTATGGGTTTTTGAGTAGAAGTTCTAGCAGTAAGAGGAATGGATTTTTTTCTTGGGATCGTTACCAATGTACAATTTAGAGATACAATCCAAGTAGTCGGATTGATGAATGCTGAACATAGCCTTAGCTGGCAGATAGGGGGAAGATTCCCTTAGCTGGTAAAAACTGGCTCCACTCCAATTTGCCCTAGATTAAGTTCTGGCCACAGTGTTCAGCTGTGTTCATCTCTCTGCTCAGAGTTGAAGGGAGTAGAGGATATTCTTTCATCTAATGTTCTACCTTGCATTTAGTTTATTTAGTCTAAAAACAGCTGGACTGAAGAGCAGTTTGATGGAATGTCATTAAGAAAAAACAGCTGGCTAATAAAATCAGTATTGAAATTGCTGTTTTGATCTTTTTCCTTTGCAGAGCCTGTGTTATTTATTACTAATGCTAATCATTATTTAAGGGTAGCCAGTGGGCACATCATGGTTTTTTAGCTCACATGGATCATACCAACTAGGTACATGTATTCTGATACTCCTTTCAGTCTTTCAAGGACCCAGATGTATGATAGTCTTTCCTGCCCTTCACCTTCCATTAAATATATGGCAGAGATCCAGGACTGGGGAAAGAGGGCTTTAGCAAGGAGGCGTAGTATTGATACTAAGATTGAATTTATGACTTTGCGCTTCCTACACTGGCAATTCTACAGAAACAAAACTTTAGATAAAACCAGTGTTTTTGCCTGCATTTGACTCCTGGACAGGTAATTTGTGAAATTACCATGAATTAAAATGAATGCTGAGTATTATAAGGGTCAGCAGCGTGCTTGCGCCAGCTGTAAACTATTTCTCTGCCACACCATTAGATGAAGAACACTTTCCTTAGTGTTATGACCATGCATCAGGCGTTTAAAGGTATTCAAGGGTATTTTGTGTTACGCATAGCAGAAAGGCACAAGTTTGAATATCACAAAGTTCTTGAATTATAAAGCAAGACCAGCTGTTCTTGGAAGACCCGTAGTACCAAGTTGAGAAAATATCCCTCTTCTGATTAATTCATAGCTCATGAATATTTCATGAGACCTGGATTACCACTTGGGGGCTGATGAAAGAGTAATTTGTAGTTTCTGCTATTAAAGAGTGGAAAAGAATGTAAATATTCTAATATGATTTGTGCAGAGCTTTAATCTTGAAATCAGTTGGCAAGGAGATATTTCTCTGAGGACAAATTTTTTGCTGATGTAAAAAGATATTATTCTGTTGACTTCACTTGACCAATGCTAATTTATTGCATGTGGCAAGCTTCCTTAAAAGCCTTTTGTGGCTTTGTAAAACTAATGATGCAAGATTCAGGGTGCTCATCTGTACATTCTTTCAATACAGTTCTTAAGTAAAATGACTTTTTCTTCTACTCCAAAACAATAGTTGCACATAATGAATCACTTGCGCCCTCAGCAAGTTTGTCGACAACACCA